ATAGCTAAAAAGATGAATGGTGCCAGTGAGAACTTATCTGAGAGGCAGAAATAGCTCATTGCTCAAGGATTCCCTGGCAACCTCTGGAGGAACCCTGGTTGAGGAACCGTGCTGTAGCCTATGAAACATGCATAAAACTGAAGGATGGGTTTCTTCCTTTTAACTCACTATGCAGAGAGCCCTTTGTCAGCATACCACTTTGTCAGAGAACAGATGTAAATGTGAAATGAAATGAAAGGACTGGGTGGTCACAGCCTGGCTCTTCAAGGACAAGAGCAAGAAAAATAGTGAACTGTTGTATTTGTAAATGTGTTTGAACTGCTAGGAAATAAGGAGGCAAGGTGTTTTAAAGAGGAGAGAGAAATGCAAAGGCTGCCGATGTTGCCCTCCTAAGAATGCCTGGTTGTCAAGCTGATGATCTGGCTTTAAAGTGGAGTTCCAGCCATTTTTGTGTTTATTAAAAGTCAGTAGCTACAAAAACTGTAGCTGCTGAGTTTTAATAAACACACACTAACCTGTCCCAGAGTCCAGCGACGTTCTCACCCGCACCGTCCCTTTTCTTGTTCACGGCGCCAGAATCTCAACTGTAGACACCAGGCTGTGACAGCTTGCGGCTTCACAGCCTGGTGCCCACTGAGCATGCGCGGGTCGTGCTGCGCCTCCTGATTGGTCTGGCAGTCTTCTGGGACCTGTTCCCAAGAGACTGCAGGAGGAAGGAGAGGGCCAAACTTTGGCTCACTGCGGCAAACTGAGCTGAAATTGGGAGCAAGTACCTGTCAAAAATAGGTATCCGCTCCGCCCTCCCCACCCAAAGGTGCCAAATATGGCAGTAGGGGGGGGGGAGGTGGCAAATAAGTGAAGCTTCCGCTTTTGAGTGGAAATCTGCTTTATCAACTTCCAGGTCAATGACAAGGAATATCTGATTTTTAACAACTGCATGCTAGCTCCAAAACTAAGCATCTTCCCCCAGAAGAGGAGGATCGGGACTGCTCTGTGCAAACCATTACACAGAGCAGGTAAGTATAACATGTTTGTTGTTTTTAAAAAATAAAAACCGTGCGTTTACAATCACTTTAATATGAGCTGCCACTGCTAGTTGCTTGGCTTTGCCTAAATTTACTTTCAGGATATGCGTACTTTAAAAATACATTTATTCTTTAAATCCTACAAAAAGTCATGCAACATTGACATTGAATCTCCATGAATAGCTGCAGCGGTAGCTTTTAGAAAGTCTTCTATGGAAAGTTCAGAAGCAGGCCTGTGTGAATACAAGGCGTACATCAGCAGGACACATTTGTATTCAGAGAATTCTCAGGCCTGCTTTGTACCTGAACTGCCCAGATCCGATACTTTCACATTCTTTCAGGAGCCCCAGAGGTCACATCATGCTGAAAATCTTGTTTATACACAATAAGAGAGAGCCCCATCCATCTTTCACATTCTCTTATGAAATAGTTTTAACTCTGCTGCCCAGATAAAGTTTTCTGTCCAGGCGATGAGGGATTTGGGAAATCTTGGACAGGATTCATTTTAACAGTTTCTACAGATGCAGAAAAATCTCTCTACTGGAAATCTAAGGAGTCTTATCGGCTATATACATATCCTTGTAATCTACAGATATTTTAGTCTGAAGATCCCTCCTCCAAAACCACCCTAACTATTGCTCCAGTATTGTTCTCAGCTTAAAGGGTAACCCCACTTTTTTGAAAAAAAAATATAGAAAATTAAAAAAAAATAACGTAGCACATAAAATTTCAAAACAAGCCATATTGTAATTTAACATTGCTAGAAAATTACCGTTCTTTTCAACCTGCAGCCACTGTAATTTTCTGTAAAATTTAAATTGCAATCTGGAGGGGTTCTAAAAACTGTTAGTGTACAGAACGCCCTCAGACATGTCATTTCCCGTTTGTGTGATTGGCTCACTAATTTTCCCAGAAGAAAAAAGCTACATTTTAGGAATCCCTGGCAATAGAAATGTTAGTTTTGGTGAGATCACCTACAAGAGCTAAATCATTTTAAAGGGATGCTGACACTGCAGCTTTTGTCAGACCACAGAGTGCACCAGCTCAATATAATGCATAACTTTCTGAGATGAGAATGAGGGACACCTATTACCAAAAGCATGTAGGCCTAGGACACCCCACCCCCCTCCGCCACACCCCCTTTAAGGGAGAATTGTACAAAAAAAATTATTGTTTAAACAAACAAGTGTTTTTTTACCACTACTATTCCTTTATATTGGCTTTTGGAATTTACAAATACAGCGATTTAGAAATTGGATGAAAGGTTTACCACTGGGAAAAACTTTTTGATAGATAAGTAATATATTTTATATACAAATATACAGATCAGACCAAAATGAGGGGCAGAGGGACTTCGTTCAAAATCAGGGACAGTCCCTCAAAATCAGGGACAGTTGAGAGCTATGATAATGAACCAGACCCCTCTATTCAGAATCAGTCTGCAAAGATCATCTGCTTTTTCTTCAAAGCAGAAACCAGTATCTGCAACAAAGTTTGTTAAAATCCCTGAAATGTACACTGATCAGTCAGCTGGGATTGTTTTTTGCACAAGCAAAGTGAAGTTACTGTTTGTCCCTGGGAACGTGTCTGATGTTAAATATTGCCTATTTCCACTATAATATTTCTGTTTTTTTAATTTTAATTTCTCTCTTAAAATCAAGTCCACATTATTTATTAATTTTGGTAAAGTCAACCTGTGGTTTGCTATACTTCTTTAACTTTTGCACTGCCTTCAGCTTCTGCTCAGCTGCTCGGAGCAAGCAAAGGGAACCCTCTGTAAGCTCTAAGTGGCCCTAGCCAGGACTAGTCAAATAATCTTCAGGAAACTCATACAAATGAGTGCAGAGAGGCCACTCCAGGTGGAAACGTGAACAGTTAATCATGAGCTCACCACTGCTGCCTTGTTAATCATATGCATGATGAAGAGAACTGAAAAAAATAGGCGCTGTGGAAAATGCTCTCAGACAAGCACCTTAATGAAGGTGCATCTTTATTGGGTGAGACAAAGTAGCAAATATAATAAAATTTGACCAGCCTGAAGTGGACAGTGTGACTCCAATGGACGGCCCGTCCACTCTGAAGGGAGCTGAGATCGGAGAACGTTCCTGTCGACTTCAAATCACGTGGTGTCAGCGTCCCGGGTGGTGTCACCATGGCAAGCAAAGGCAGTGTCCGGCGTTGGCTTCAGCTGGGAGCATGTGTAGGGTTACCAAGACGACATGTTTCGAACAGTTGCGCTTTGTCAAGTCTCAGTTTCAGCCAGGCTTGACAAAGCGCAACTGGCAGAGTTTCAATCCATGTATGGCCTTCCCTATTCGATAGTCAATCAGAAGATCGAAGATTTGTTGAACAGGAATGTTGGAAAACTTTTGTCAATCAGCGGCTGCAACTGCTGATCAATGTTATTCTGACAGTCGAAAAGTCATGCTAACAATACAATGTCTCTGCAGGAAATATTCCTCTATCCACCTTGCTTGTGTGGATGGAAGAATCTGTTCATTTATTATTTATTACAGGTACTTATATAGCGTTGTCAATTTACGCAGTGCTTTACACATATGTATTGTACATTCACATCAGTCCCTGCCCTCAAGCAGCTTGCAATCTAAGATCCCTAACTCACATTCTAGGGCTGATTTTTTAAACAGGAGCTAATTAACCTACCAGCATGTCTTTGGAGTGTGGGAGGAAACCGGAGTACCCGGAGAAAACCCACACAGTGTGTTGCTATGGATATTAGGTGTTTTATAGCTTAGGTATTTGTGCTGTTTTAGAAGCTAAGCCTCCCCTACTGATATGCAAATGAACCAGTTAGACTGGTTTATGAGCTTAGCAGAGGATATGATGTAACAGGAATTAGAGGGGAGGGGAAAGGACCTTAGACAGCCTTGTGGTGAGAGATAAAGACAGAGTTGTTCTGAAAGACAAAGAAGCAACAGCTGTTCTTTAGACTTGGAAGAAGAAAAAGTGTGTTGGAGGACTTTGAGATGTTTTTGTTCTGGACTCTGAAGGAAGATCCTGGAACCGTAAGAAGACTCCATTACCAGAAGGAACTAAGTTCAGTAACTTTCATGCCATTCACATAGACAGTCAGCTTGTGCAGGTTTTAGGCATATTTTGTTGTGATTTGTGTTTTCTGCAGTTGTACAAGTAGATTTTATGCTCAGTAAAGCATATTATTACACTACAGAGTTTTAATCGGTTCCTTGGCTTGTACCACAAAGTAACCTAAAAGACGCAAGCAAAAAAAAAAGTAACAGGGACAACATGCAAACTTCAGGCAGGTAGTGCCGTGGTTGGGACTTGAACCAACAACCCTAGTGATGCCAGGTGTAAGTGCTAACCACTTAGCCACTGTAATGCCCTATTTTTTTTTTCTTTTTAACCCCTTGGCGCCGGAGCCTCCCGGCCCTTTAAGGGTTTCAGAAGCCGGGGAGGGGTTTTAGGGTCATGTGACCACCATGATTTGCTGTCACATGATTGGGAAACGTCCCGGTCAAAAGAGGAGATCGGGACCTTTCTGTGAGTACCGGACATGTGTGCTGGGAGCGAGCAGGGCACACGCTCTCAGCACATATGTTTTTCTTAATTGCACACAAATGTGTGGCCGCTCGGCGTCTAGGCCCAGACACCGGGAGGCCGCACATTTGTGTGCGGCCGGCGTGAAGAGGTTAAGAAAAGTCATCTATGGTCAGATTACGTTAATAACCCTTCAAGGTTACAGTACAGTAGTGATTCTTAGAGGTACATGGAATCACCTAGTGGTGCTTACGTCGAAAAAAAACAGTTCACATTTATTGCCTTTAGATGAGACAAGTGATTATTGTATGCAGCAGTAATTAAAATGTGTAATAGGGAATAAGAGGACCTAACGGACTAAAATCTCCAAACACTTCACATATTTATTAAATATTACCGGTTAATTAAGAGACTGGAGGAAATTACGGTGAACAGGTCGAGCGTTTGCTTACTCACCTCTAGTGTTGTCAATACAATCTTCTCGACAGAGGAAAAATAAGCTTCCCACAAAAACTGTGTCTGCTGTCTAAGTGCAAGGATCCTATCCTGATGGATAGACCTGATTGTAGAAGGAATCTGTAAGACAAGGACAGAACAATCAACTGCAGCACACAACACTGTAACCTGATCAAATTAATACACTGCTGGGAGCGTGGAGCTAGGCCTCTCAAGTGCCTTCCAGGAGAATATTGTTTTTCTGCCTTTTGTTTATGCTCCTAAAAGCAAGTGAGAAGTAGGGGGAAAAAGTGAAATAAATAAAAGTGTGAGTTACAAGTAAATTGCACTTGAATAGAAAACTTTATTGAACCAAAGCAATTTGACAGCAAGGGTCACCTCGGCAGGTCTTGCTGTTGAATAATTCTTCTAGCCACAATGAAAATTGAAAAGAACATTCTCCCTTAGAAGGATGAAATAAAGGTCACTTGGGTCATGAAAGAAACACTGATAATACAGAGGACAGATTCATCTATTACAAGGGCTGCAAGACAGCGTTCTACTTCCCCGCAGAGTGGTAGCAGCCATATTGAGCGGCTTACTAATTGGTACGCACAAATGAGGCATTTTATGTTTAGGCCTCAGCAAAGAGATTCCACCTGGATGGCAAAAATGGGGTACAAAACTAAAAATTAGAATTATGATAATATTTTAGGCTGGTATTTCTATCCATAAAAAGTGAAAACTATGCTGAAGGATGCAAAGGCTGAACAATGGATTAGGCCACACAATGGCTCATTACTGGACGCTTTTATGAAGAGTCTGCTAATGAAATAGAATATTGGTCTTCTGAACCAAACACATCTGTGCTTTTGCCTGTACTAACGCCAGGCCTTTTTCATGTCTCTAGTGTACTATGACTTGTTATGGTTATTAATAAAGACCAAAACTAGGCCTAAAGGCCCATACACACGATAAGAAAACATTTTCGTAGAATGAGCGATCGTACAATAATTTGTTGGTATATAAGAGAGCAGATCACAGCAATTCATGTGACAATAACTGAAGAGACAAATGCGAAACCTTTTCTCATACGATACCAGATAATGCAATTTTCAATCAATCAGTACAGTAGTCATCTGAAAATACAATACAAATACAATGCATGGCATCTCCTCCAAAATCCTATTCAATCATACGAGAATTTTCATAAGTTGAGTAACCTCTTCATTTTCTATAGAGACTAGTGTGCAACCCACCCCCCCCCCCCAAAAAAAAAAAATGGATGATCATTCATCCAACATTCTCATTGTGTGTACTAGGCATCAGTCTGCAAAGCTAGAATTCATTGCTGCTATAAAAGCAAAAAAACAAAACAAAAACAAAAGCAAAAAACAAAACAAAAAAAAAAACTCTCCAGCTTCATTAGATATCAAACTAGAGAGAAAAAAAAACAGGAAAAACACAATAGTTGATATAGTAAAAAGCAAAATTGTCTTGGTAAATCTAAAGGCTAAACAGAATGTGTGTTGTTCATGGCCACTGATGACTGACTATTGTTAGCCATACTGGTAGCTATGAGCGTCACATCCACTTCTTCTCCAGTTATTATTAATATTATACAGGATTTATATAGCCCTAACAGTTTGCACATTGCTTTACAATATAAAAGGAGACAGTACAGTTACAATACAATAAAAGACAGTAGGGTTAAGAGGGCCCTGTTCAATCTAATAGGGTGGGGCAAGTGGTACAAATGGTTATAACAGTGGTGGATGAGCTGATAGAAGAGTTAAAATTTCAGTTGTTAGCTGGAGGTGTGATAGGCTTTCCTGAAGAGAGGAGTTTTTAGGGATCACCTAAAGGCAGCCAGAGTAGGAGATAGCTGGACAGATTAAGGTAGAGAGTTCCAGAGGATGAGAGAGGCTCTGGAAAAGTCCTTGAGAGGAGCATGGAAGGAGGAGATGAGAGCTAGAGAGTTTGATAGAATATCCTTATTGCATTCTAAAATGAGAGCTTTGCAAAGTGTTACCTATTGTGAGATACTAACTACATCAGCAGTAAAGCTAGTTGGAAATTAATTGTAATCGTTTTACAAGGAGTTTCTTGGAAAGTAAGCTTCAACTTCCTAACCTTCATGCAGCACTGTTCACCCTGGGTATTTGCCTGTGTTCAGATGAGGCAGGAAGGGAGGAGAAGGTCTGCATTTATTGGGCCTCAAACACAACGTGGCTTTAAAGCAGCAAAGGGGCCTTTATATGGGGTCATCAAAAGAAGAGGCTTGGTTTTTTGGCTATGGTTATGAAAGGTATATTGTTAATAATACACACTAATGTAGTCCATCATTCTGATTTTGCCACTGTAAGTAGGTTCATCATTACTCTCACATCTAGGCCGTTTATGACATTGAAGTCCATGTATTTTTACTGCGAAAGATGGAAGGCACACATTCCACAGCCCAACAGGCTTTTCCATGCAGACCATGTGTGCATAACATTACTAATGTCTACTTTGAGCAAAGCCAACAATGCAGCCTGCTATGACCACAGACACAGCAAGGAGGCCAAGAAGGTCTCATTGCCAGAAAAAGAAACCAACATGCATGTTTCTATTTCTCATTGCCCACAGAATAGAAGTCTGAAAATGGCAGCACTTATGGTACGGAGGACAGTCAAGGCAGCAATCTCTTTTTCAGTTTTTGCTGGAAGTTGAAATAAGAGAATTCTGACTGCCCATTATGTGAATGGAAAATACCAATACCATGGACTTCGGTGGCTGTTGAACTGAACAGGTACCATGGACTTCGGTGGCTGTTGAACTGAACAGGTATCATTGGCAGTAGACACAAGCAGCATACCAGCCAAACATCATATTTCCCATGAGTCCCAAACTTGTTGACAGGCCTTGCTTCTATTTTGCTATTTGCTTCGGTTTTAAAGCAAATGTGAACTTACGGTGACGTCCTGTATGGAAGTGAACACACTTAGGGCATATTCACACTACTGCGGTGCATTAATGTGATTTGCTTTAAGGCAATCTTTTCATTTGAATGTGCTTTCAAAGCATTTTTTGACCCAATACACCATGAATTCACACATATACCTTCTTGTGTGCCAATACTCATGTGCATTGCGATGCTCTCTGTTGGTGCATTGGGGTGCTATTTAAAATGAATGGGGCCATTCTGGCTTTGGTGCATTGATTGACTATTGTTAATTTCTCTGGTGAATAGTACTGCAATACAGAGATCACTGTATAATCTACATATTCCAAAAAGAAAATAATGTGAATCCACCCTTAGGGCTCACATCTATGGATGTTGTCTTTTAGCATTTGAAACACATCAACTGCAGTTTAGCAAACTCCCATTGACTTTATTTGAGCAGTACACATGGCAGCTCACAGGATGTGTATGACCTGCTCTACTTTGGACACAGCGGGGGTTATTTACTAAAACTGGAGAGTGCAAAATCTGGTGCAACTCTGGCAATAAAACCTGAAAGCCGATTGGTTTTGTTGCCAAAGTTTTAGCCTGGGTTCACACTTGTGTGGTATATCGCCTGTGATTTGCACAGGAAACACACCGCATTCCTGTGCAAATCACATGCGAATTCTGTGCAGTGTGATTTGAGCCATACATTTTATAAGGCTCAAATTGCACCGCATTCCCACCAAAAAGGGGCAGGATTCTTTTTTTGGTCCACACTAGAATCGGATCGCATGGGTATTCACACCTATGTGATCCGATTCTGCACATCACACCACATTTTGCAGACCGATTTTGGGGTGTTGTTAACTTAACATACACACCCGCAGCAGTTCTCATGAACGGGGTGCGATTGTGATGTGGTGCGGACCTCGCACAGAAACCAATGCAAATTCCGCACTGCATCAGTGTGAATCCAGACTAAAAGAACAAGTTGTAGTTACAAGTTGATGGACTACCATGCACAGCTGCACCAGATTCTAAGTGCTCCAGTTTTAGATAATTTCCCCCAGTATGTCCCATTGAGGCACTCTATACATTCCTGTGTGAAAGTGTTACTAAACCCGCAACAGTAAAATCAGTCTGTTTATGCTTAGATTGGAAGCTCGAAAGAGCAGGGCCCTTGAACCCCTCGTGTTTTGTTTTGTTACTGTATTGTCTCGTGTTCTGTCCCCCACTATAATGTACAGCGCTCAGCAAACCTTTTAGCACTATATAAATACTGTATAATAATAATAATAAAGCATGCGTGTTATAATGGCTGTGGAACCTAAAGGGGTTAATCATCCACATTGAGTAGAAAAGCTGTGTGATCCTGTTTTCTGTGATTCTCCCCTTCATTTACTGTCCCAAATCCATCTGCCATAGTACAGAGCAGCAGTGGTAAGTCTTCACATGCTCTGTTTGGTATATATTGTTGGAGGTTTTCTGCTTTTTTTTTTGGGGGGGGGGGTGCATGTGATTGGGACAAAGCCAATCAGCACTGTCTGCACAGAGACTCAAGGGTTATGCAGCCTCATAGGATAGTCAGAGGAGAATGAAAACTCCTACAAGATTAACCAGTGCTCGGCAGGACACTGATAGAAGTTACTATATACTGCTGATGAAAAAAAGCTATTTAGCAGTTTATATTTATTAAAATAATTGCATCTCCATGCTCTGTGTACTGTGGCACACCAGATATAGTGAATGCAGGGTCTGGGGTTTAGTCACACTAAGGCTCCAAGCTGCTTTCCCATATTTTGTATCTGTTCCACTATATTAGAACAAAGGCTCATGGAAGGACACTAAAACATGTAACTGCTTAGCTACTGCAAGAGGCAGAAACAAAATTTCCAAATACCTTGTAAAATCCCTTGAAAAATACGGTATTTTGGCATACACAGATGAAACGCCTTCATTAAATTGGACGTCTTTATTACGAGGCTTGTTGCTAGACAAATCTCATGGATATAAAAATGATCCATGTTCCAATTTAATGCACATTACATGACAAAACTTGCAACAAAAGGAGTTGTCTAACTAGTGAATATGTAAATAAGCCATCCGTAACAAAACAAGCGGATAAATACATTCCACAAATATTAAATAGATAGCTTGAAACAGCTGTTAATTAACCAAATACTGGGCAGCCATCCTAATGTAGCATACAGTT